ATGTTTGGTTTTTGTTTGCTTCTGCAGACCTTACATGTTTGGTTTTTTGTTTGCTTCTGCGGACCTCACATGTTTGGTTTTTTGTTTGCTTCTGCGGACCTTACATGTTTGGTTCTTGTTTGCTTCTGCAGACCTTACGTTTTTTGTTTTTGTTTGCTTCTGCAGACCTTACATGTTTGGTTTTTTGTTTGCTTCTGCAGACCTTACATGTTTGGTGTTTGTTTGCTTCTGCAGACCTTACATGTTTGGTTTTTGGTTTGCTTCTGCGGACCTTACATGTTTGGTTCTTGTTTGCTTCTGCGGACCTTACATGTTTGGTTTTTTGTTTGCTTCTGCAGACCTTACATGTTTGGTTTTTGTTTGCTTCTGCAGACCTTACATGTTTGGTGTTTGTTTGCTTCTGGAGACCTTACATGTTTGGTTTTTGTTTGCTTCTGCAGACCTTACATGTTTGATTTTTTGTTTGCTTCTGCGGACCTTACATGTTTGGTTTTTGTTTGCTTCTGCAACTGGTGTTGGCCCACGCATCGTGCAAATCAGTGCATTCTCCTCTTGCAAAGTTTAAGTCTCAAATTCAGCGGGGCCCAAACTCCAAGCTTTTCATTTTGCTTTGTAGAATTGCGACCAAATTGGCCATGTTCTGGCTACAAATCCAGGGATTCTCTCCAGACTCCGGGTGCTACTTCGTGTTAGTTTGATCATCAAGAAACATCCTTTTATCCACCTTCGCATAAATGTTTGTGTACAGAATCAAGGAAGGATCCAGGCCTAAACCCGTGGTTTGGATTTCTTCCATTCCAAGCATCCCTTTTCTTGCAATGCAGTTCAGTTCTGCGGCAGGCAGAACTGGCTCGGCGGATGAATACGCTGGAGAGTCATGTGGCCAACATGCTGCATCATGGACGCATATATGGACGTACTGAGTCGATGTAGACAGTCGTCGATTGCCCAGCGTTAGACAGCGAGTAGACAGCGGGTGGCGAGCCAGGCGAGTTCATGAATTGCTTCGGGGTCTTAGTTGGATAGGCTGAGGATCATGTATAAGGCAGTAACATGGTCTTCTCTATTAAGGATCTAGCAAGAATGGTGCTCCTCACCACAGTCCTGAAATGGTGTCACATGCTGATGAGCTGTGTTACAAACTACCTGGACCCTTGAAAGTACCCTAGAAAATGGGACATGGCCCTCACAAACAGCAGACAGGTACTCGGTACTTGTATCATCTTCTATCCATTTTCTGAGGTACGAACTGAGACTCCATCATGTAGTCTGAACATCCAAAAAATGGAGATGGTCCTGCCATGTCCTGCCTGGTCTCCAAAGAGCTTGGGGTCTAGCCAACCTGCACGGATCTACCAGTAAAATCTGTCCTGCCTGTGATTTCGTTGGGAAGCATAGGATACTTTGGAAATTCAGTGTGGCACTGTTATATGCAATAACAAAATTCGATTGCAATACCCCAAAGGAGGACATCAAACTAATCAAAAGAGCGTTGTTTGTTTCTCAATTGGCGTCTCCGAGGATTAGCACCCTGAACGACGTCCTGACGAATACCACGTACCTCAGCAATGGTATTCAGCGGCTCCTGAAGCACCCGCGGTGGTTGTGCTTTACTGAGCGAATTATGGAGAGGCCAAGGCCAAGCCAACCCAAAAAACAAGAAGCTGCTAGTAACAAAGGGCATCGCTACGAACGGAGCAAGAAGCTCTAAGGAACATTGTCCACCCCACGGCCACCGGGTCCAGAATCGATTTGAGGTAGCCAGCAGCTGGAGGGGTCATTCCGAGTCATTCCCATATTCAGTATTCCCTACTAAGCATCAGTCAGATGATATTCTTGACAGTTGCGCAACATCAAAGCTGACAGTGGCCTGTCTATCGAGAGGCACACGAGAGTTTCGCCACTTCAGACATGAAGAATGCGGAGAGAATTCGCCCACGTTGCGCTAGGCCACTAGGTGCACCGATGTTCACAGGCCACAGTTTCACCACAACTCATTATCACCACTGACACGACCGACGACACAGATGTCGTCGCTTCAATCGATGCCTATTGAGGAGCTTTGCAACCCAGCTGGTGATGTTTTTGCTCTACTCGTTGATGTGCTTGCTCTCGCCCTTGAAGAGTGGAGAGCAAGTCTTCACCATCGTGCGGACCTATTTCGGGCCTCTCGGCATGTTGTGGCGCGGGTGCCGAAGGGGCCAATGCATGGTTCACTCGGGTCTGTCGCGCAAATCCCTCCAGATCGAATGTGTTTCAGTGTTTCACACACACATGTCCTGCGGTGGTTGTGAATAGTTACCTAAAAGCTGGTAGAGTTTTCCTTGCTAGAAAGAACAACTTGATAGTCTTTGTCAACACAACCCTTGAATGGACCTCATTCTGGCATCCTGAAATGACACAAAACACCATTTACACCGTTTACACAGCTATAAATAGTTAAACCATATGCGGTGTATGGAAGAGGAACATCATTGACCAGCTGTTACAAGTTGTCAGATTCCTTGATTGCAGCTGTGATGCCGACAAGCATGAGTTTTCTTGCGAAAGTCATTGGTGCACGTGCTTCCCGCAACTCCTTCAACCCCTGACCTGAAGAGACTGTGGAGGTGGAGCTGAACATGGCTGCGTCATCGCAGATCTTTTGGTACATCGTAGATCATTGACTGTCCCATATTTGCCACAAAGTGAACCTGTTGATTAGCTCCACACTCCTAACCCACGTATTTGTAAGACAAAGTATGTTCGAACGTTCTTCCTGAAGCCTTGTTCGCCACTACGCGCTGCTCAGTCGGTTAGAAACGAGCCTCAGGTATAAGGCGGCCTGCAATGCAGCCTTTAGCTTTTGTGTGTGGTGCCTGTTGGCCGGCATTGGAGGCTTGACAGAGTAGTCAGTGCTTTAGAATAGCTAGACACCGGACACCCAAACCAAATGGGTTTCTATGTTTGCTTTGCCCAAGGAGTTTGGTGTGCCTTCCTATTTCAATACACAGTTGATCACAGTCTTATTTCGATCGTGATTCATGATGTTGTATTCATGTTGCTCCCTGTAGATAATTTGATAATTTGTTAAGTTGAGTCATGAGCCAGGAACCCCAATGATGGTGTATGGGATACGTGTATGGTGTTTGCTAGCCATGCTGCTTATTCGCTTAGTGGTGATCCTTCGGCCATCCTTTTGCGGCCATTCCCAAGCAGTAGTCCACCACGTCCTGAAAGCGGTCGTTTGGGTCCGCCACATGGGATGATTTGTTCCGAGCATGAGAACCACCCATTAGCGGTCGAAGCGGTCGAAGCGGTGCTTCAGTTGTGGGTAAGGGGTAGACCTACTGGAGCTTTCTGGAATAGACCCGCGAATCTAGCAGTTGCTAATCTATGAAGGAGACCTAAGTGTACACTACTTTCTTACTTCACCACCTATACGTCACAGAAATGTTGATGTTGCTAAGGATGTGATTTGGCAGTGGTTCTCTCCGTGATGTGCTTCTTTCTGAGCCTCTTGATCAGCTCATTCTGTGAAACCCTGGTCCTTTCGCCCGTTTCGATGGAAACCTCCGACCGGGTTGGCCCCTTTGAAGGCGATTTCATGAGGTTCTGAGTTGCAGACGGGTATGTTAGCAGGAGAGCCATGTTGTTTTCTCAGACGACCGCCTGGCCTACCTGCAGACGATAGCGGTGAAGCCAAGTCGAAGCAGCAGAAACCAGGCCCTTCCGAGTGGCACGTCCACATTGCTTGAACACTTCCAAATCGGTACATTGCATATACAATCATATATATATACACAACATTATACAATTATATAGTATATATATGGTCAGCCCAGAAAAAAATATACACAGTGGAAGGTCATAGCATTGATGCTGTGGGTGTTTTTGTCAACTTGCAGGGACAAATCCACACTTTTGGGGTCATGTTTGCTCTCATTGGCAAGTTCTTTTGTTTTCGGGAGTTTTCTGGTCTTAATGGTCAGTACCCGCGAAGCAGTAGGCAAACAGATTGGAACCAGATGAGTATCCCTTGGAGTCGGTGATTGTTGTTATTGGTTTCATCCACACCGAGGTTTCATCCCCGAGGTTGGCTCAGTGATTTGCATGTTGCTCCCTGCAACTCGACTTCGTTTGGAAGACGGAAGACGTCAAGACCGACATGTCAAATCCGATGGATCGAAGTTCAGAATCCGATGGATCGAGGTATCTAGTCGTTAGGAGTCGTTGGAATTGGTTCAACAAACTGTTGGAGCTTAAGTGGCTTTGTTTCACAGAGAGCAATAGGCATATTTCTCTCAATTCAACATCATGTGAAGGTTCAAGATGGCCTCAACATGTTGAGGGTCAGTATCTACCAGGAACTTCAGATTCAGATATACAGATTCAGATTCTTCTATGCCGACTGCTTGATATGTTTTCCATATTTGTATACTAATTTTCGCTGTCCCACCAATATCATCCAATATCAACATTCCGATGGATCTCCAACGAAAGGTCGAAAGAGAATTCTGCTGACCAGCATTTTCATTCAGTCCACGTGTTTTCTTGGAGAACGCCCTCCTGATGTGTTTGGTATGAGCATCTGACAAAATCGAGTGCATACTAAAGTAGTGACAGGGTGGTCTTGGGATGTTGGAAACCTGTATCAAACCTGCATAACCGATGGGGGGCCGACCCGGGTTACCGATGCCCTTTCAATGTACCAACCACTTAAGGAAGCCCGCTGCCACGTTAAAGCTGGCGCAAACACTTGGGTATATATGTTGCTCTTCTCAGTTTGAGATTGAGTTGCTTATGGCAGTATACAAGACGTGATGCAAGACCAACAAAATTCCCACCACTGAATAGCTTTCTCACCGCAGTGCCTTACAGAACATGTTTGTGCCCATGGAAGAGCAGCTTCCCCACAACTTGTACAACCACTACTGCAGTTGCTTCGTGCCCTCACTGTTGGCGTGCCAAACTATGGCAAGCTTGATGTCACCAACAAAACTTGAAACGCAGCCAACCCTTCAAATCTGCACAACCGATGGGGGCCGACCCATTTTAGGCAATGTCTTGAGGCTAGATAAGAGACTTTGTCCGGCACACAGGACGACGGTTGCTCCAGATGACCGCTCATGGCCGTAGGACGATGGACAAGTGTTGGCTTTTCCGAGCACGCGATTCTTTTGGGAGAAGCCAAGCTTTGTGACCGAGAAGAAAACACACAACAAAACATGGGTCAAACATCTAGTAGACTATATTATTTATATATATATATATCTATATTAAACCAACCAACTGCTGCTTTTTGGGGGGGGTTCCCAGAACTCCGGTGTCAAATGTCCGTCCTCCTGCGGGTGCTGCGCACCAGCACCCCCTCCTTCGTCCGTCCGCGACGACTTCTCCGGTGCTGCCGTCGCTCGCGACTCGACGAACCGGCTCGGCCGCGCTCCCGAGATCCCGGTGCTGCTCTTTGACTCTCGGGTCACCGTGGAGGTTCGAGGCGCCAACGTCTTGACCATGGCGCCTCGGTTCGAGGTTCGAGTAGTGACCAACCGAAGAACGAGCGACTCTGAAGTGGGCTGAGGCAGGATTTGTTTGTTCTTTTTCAGCACCCCAATGAGAGTCTAAGATTCATTCAGTCCAAAAGATTTGTTTTGGACTCGGTTGAACATTGGGGTACTGAAAAGAGGATGTCAAGAGATGTTGGGAGTCTCTGGTCCGTCACTGAGTGTCGACTCCTCGTGCCTCATTGAGTCACGACCGGGTCAGAGTCGAGGTGGGGTCTCTGAGTTAGAATTTCGTGCATCATGTGGTTTGGTGGACGAAAAAAGATCGCAGACCAGGCATCTATATGTGAAGGCGTATTCTGACACAAACTTGCATCTATATTGGAGCCAGAAAAGGTCAGGGCCGTCAAGCTTGTGTGGGAGTCCTTTGATCAACCTAGGGATCCAAGTGCCTTCTCAGAAGGTACGACTGGACCCTCCTGGTACCTACATAACAGCGTCGAACACATCACCGTACCTTTAAAAGGTACGACTAGATCCCTAGGGAATGACAGTGGCTTCAAGGCATGAAAAGACGACCAGGACCAGACCAGGAGATCTCTGGGGCGTGAAAAACCACGTGTTTTCAGTGGTGAAGCCGGAGGCGAAAGAGTGACAACACAGGAAGAATGCACGAAAGGTTGGTGAAACAGATTTCTTTCTGAGCATGGAATGTGGCCGAAAGAGTGATGTCGGCGCTTAGTCACCCAAAGTCTGCAGGCAAAGCGCCTATCAACATAGCAACCCTTCAGCTTTGAACGAAGAGATGCAGGGGGTGCAGCAGGTTCACCTCCGACCACCCTAAACATCGAGGTTCTTGGGAAGGAGACACCCACTGAAACCATTTCAGAGTGGTTTTCCTTTGAGGTTCTTGGGATGTTGGGCATCAAGTTTGCTGTCTCCAATGGCCTGGAGTCCTTGGTGATGTCCAGGCCAGCGTCTTGACGGTGTTCGTTTTCCTTGGGTGAATCCAAGTTGTGGACTTTGCCATGGCCATGTGCTGAATGGGATGGGATGCTTAAAGGAGATGTCCATGATCATTTAGCAGAAAGGCTACAAGAATTGAATGGTGGAGGCAGTGGAGGGGATTCGGGAGGGGAGGTCATGCTTTGATGGTAGCGGGCTGGTCGGTGGAGATTCCGTATCGTGCACCGACACGGGAGCGTGTCTTCTCTGGTAGATGCATCCCGTCGAATCTCTGTCGTGATAAAATAGGCCAGTAGAAAGACTCACACAACAGACAACAATGTGACAATGTGTGTGTGTGTCATACACTATGTATCACTATCACTATGTCATATACATATATATATATATTGTGTCAGTATGTTTGTCTATATATATACAAGGTATATACAAGGTACACAAGATACACAACATACTTTAACATATCACTACCAACACCCTCCAACACCTTTGGTGACTTTTGGAGACTTTAAAGTGGCAGCTGGACCTGTTGGAGGGTGATGGTATACATGTACAAACACATATGTGTAATATTATGTCCACATATATGGTAAATCTACATATTATTACATACATATACTTATACTATACATATATATATATAAGTGGTATTATATGTCGTACATGAGCTTCATGTTTCTTCCACTGCGACCGTCGTGCCGTGCAATATGGACGGCCTCCTGGCGGAGACAACCTGTGGCATCACCTTCCAAGATCGATGTCTCAAAGAAAGAGTATGTATATAACATAATATGATAGAATATCGTATACATAATAAACAAACAGAATATGTATATATATATATACTAATAATATGCATATATCAAAGAATCGTGCAATATACATGAATACATATACATATACGTACATAATATCGTATATAGCAGCACAGGCATATCATATTTGACCATTTTTGACCGTCAAGAACAAACACACAATATCTTTGAACTTGTGAGCCCAAAACACCCTGGGTTTGACATCCTATCATGCACGATCCTGCGAAGCATTCTGACTTCGTCCCTCGGCGCCACGAGGAGCGCCATTTTGTCTGGGAACCTGGACGAGGAACAACCAGGTGCCGAGACACATCCGGCCACTCGCAGCGAAGTCTGCGGCCGAAAAGCGGAACATCCCAGACTTGGAACAGAGGCAGTAGACCTGCCTACGCGAAGGCGGCGAAGTCTGCGGCCTGACGGAACACACCAACAGGGCCGAACATGTGACCAACGGAAACAGAAACATGTGACAAACGGTCTCGTGTCTTCTAGAGACAACCACAGGTGGCTCGGTCGATCTCAGGTTCTGATCCTCTTCGCCGTGGTCTTGTGCGGCCAGATTTGGGGCGTCACAGGCGGATGGGGGGAGGTTCTCCGAAGATCCAAGGGTTTCTCATGGTTTCTCCCGAGCTCCGTTCGCCGAGCTCGGGAGCTCTTTTTTTCAAGTGGTTCCTTGAGACTTCAATCCTGGCTCTCACAGACTGAGGCGTCAAACAGCTGTCATTTTTGAGGGGTCACGGAGCTCGGGGGTGGTGTGGCTCGTCCCATCCAGGGGCCGTGGATTGTCACAGGGGCACCCTGACTACCTCCATGGCTAGCGCCCCTTTGAAACTCGCAGCCTTCGTGGTCATTTATATGGGTTTATTGACTGCTGTTCATAGAGGAACATTATGGTGTTCAGTGTTCAGCTACCCAAACAGATCCAGGCTTAGCCAGGCATTTCTCTCCGAAAGATCCAAGCCAAGAACTGGATTTGAACAAGCTTCTTATAGGGACCGATCGAACCACCAGTTGAGCTGCGGATTCCTTTGTGGTTTGAGGGAGGGTAGAATTGCTGGGCTTCCTACTATCAGCCGAGCTTTCTTGAAGAAGGATGCCAGTGCCAAGGCCTTGACTGAACCAGCTCACATTGCTTCTGTTTGTGCTATTGTTTCTCAAGAAGATTTTGTCGATCCTCGACAGAAAGCGTAGCCATGTAGCCACATAGTGCACGTCGCCCGTCCGCCAAAGGGTCGAAGATGTTTGAAGATGTTCCAAGATGGTCGATGAGTCAAACGATGTTTTTTTAACATTCAACAACCGTTTGTCATGGGCTCCTTTAGGTTGGAGGCCATCGGTTCCTTTTGCTACTAGCTTGGAGGCCATCGCTATTCCTAGTGGTTGATTGAGGGGAATGGGCTCCGGTCATGTGTCATCGGTACCCGACCTCCTGGCCGCGAGTTCTTCCGGACATCGTTCAACCTGGATTCTGCCAGGCCTACCCAGTGGATAACCGTTAACTGTTCATCATTCTGGGGGGATTGGGTTTCTCCCACTAAACAATAGGCGGAGAAAGGTTAACCTTTCTTTTCCTGGGAAACGGCGCGGGATTCTACCAGGTATGCTGATCTCTGTGCCCCTGCTCTCACTGGTGCGACTGTTGCTGAATCTGGAAGCCATGAAGCAGCACAGCCCCCTGGACGCTTTTGAGCGTATTTTCGGTCTAGGTGGGGGTTTGTCCACAGACTCAGAATGGCGCACGTCCAGGTGCAATATTCGCTTTTGAACGGCTTGCCCGGCGCTTGGTCGCCGGACCAAACCGCACGCACCCGCAGTGGAAAACACGGCAGAACACTCCAATCTTTCATAGTCGGCCATCAGGCCGTGGAAACTCTGGAACCTATTCGTGGTTTTGCTTAGCGTTATGTTTGTTTTCCCAATGGATGAATCCTCTTCTGGGCTCATGGTAGTCAACAAAGTGCTGCTAAAGATGATGCATGGCTTCCAAGGGAGAGTTGCAGACAAGGAATCAGGAGTTTCTTTTTTCAATCAATGGCTTTCCTCCCTTTAAACATCAACTCTCCATTTCCTCATTGATTCTGGTGTGCTACCGCATGCTACCGCTGTCGCGAAGTTCGCATGACTTCGCAGTTGTTTGAATGATCACCTGCAGCCCTGAGTGCCTGTTGGTGCAGATCAACACGGCTCCTTCGAACAGGTTGACCGGTGGACCCCATTTTAGTGTTGTGCAACTCGGGACTGGGAATTTGGCGTAAGAAGTATCAACCCTGGTGTGGATTGACTGAAGATCAGGACCAGGCTTTTGGTTTGTGGAAGGTGGGAAGGGTGAGGTTTGAGTTTGAGGCGGAGAGATTCGCAAGGCAAGCCTCCCTCAGCATCCCTTCCAGTGCAGACCTTCCTTCCATCCCATGACCCGAACTCCAGAATCAGGCCAGCAAGACCTGAAGGCCCACCGAATCCAGGTCCTTTGACTCAATGTTGGGCAAAAAGCTGGTTCTTTTGTTTGCAAGGCAGAGAACTCCACCAAGGTGAACCCAAATATATATATATATATATATATATCTGCGGGAAAATGGGTACAATTGCAACTAAGACTAAGACTATATATACAATATATATATATGTTTTCTTTTTTTTAATGAGTATATATAGAGTCATGTTCCAATGTTTTAGGAACATGGGGGTCCCAGTACTCCAAGTCCGTGAACCTCAGGAGCCATGGCTGATGCCCAACAAAGTGACGCGGACGCGGATGGCAGACAGATACGTTGGGCTCCCGATGTTCGACCAAAACAGAACGAATGAACGAAGGAACTGTCACAGCGTTTTCGATCCCTAATGACGACGAGTCCTCGGCTGATGTTGCATAGATGGAACGACTACTCAGGCAGCTGAGTCCTTCAGAGGGGCTTCTTCTTTCCCTCACAATCCGGGCCTAGAAGGGATAGGCCTCCAACCTACTAGCGATGGGCGATGGCCTACCTGCGAAGAGGTCGGATCCCTGGCATGGAGGGCTCGTATGGATTCTTAGGCCTCCGGCACCCATGTCAAGCTTGTTTTCTTGTGTCGGACATGCATGGACGCCTCTCGTGGTTCAGGGATTTCAAGAGGCTGGCCAATTCTCGTAAGGATTCCATTGTTTCTCCGTGGCTGTTCCACATTTTTTTACATGTGGCGGTTTGGACATCCTGAAGAAAAAAACCTTCGCTCCGAGCTCTTTGGATTCTTCTCTGACCGTCCCAGCTGAGGACGGCTCTCGTACATTGGGGAGGTGGCCAAGCAGAGCAACCTCCTCAGCCGGAATTCCTCCAGGCCCAACAGCCGTCTCTATACAGCGAACTCGGATCGGAGCCTGCAGCCTTAGAGGAGCTGTCCCGGCTGACCGAGGGAAAGTGTCCAAAGGCCACCCGCTGGAGCTGTTGTGACAGATGTGACAGCAGATGTGGGATGCTACTTACCCTCCAAGAATTGGCAAAGGCATTGTGCCCTGGTTTTTCTCCACTCCAACCATTTCCAAACTTACATCATCAAGGTAGCAAAAGAAGCCAAAATGATGGTAGTTTTTTTCCAAACTTACTCTTGCCCTGGCTTTACTCCTGACAAGAAGCAAAATCGTGTTATCATCAAGGTAGCTGGATTCTTGTGGCCAAATGCATCAGTTTGACTTTCGGTCTCTTTGCAGCTGCCAGTACAATGGCCTGTGGACTGCCAGCCCCTGGAGGGTACTGGGTACGCTCACACTCGATGTCGAAATGGACTATCCGAAGATCCCTCAAACATCGTGGCATGAGATCCCCATAGAACCCCTGGAAAAAATACGACACAACCCATGCTTTGCAGTTTGTTCGTCATTTGCCATTAGGATTGGACTCTGTGGGTGGGTGGGAGTGAAGTTCTGATGGAACAAAGGGGAGTTGGTGATGTACAAAATGCGCTTCCTCTAGCATCAGCTTTGGTTTTGTTCATTCGCTCGAGACTTGGCACCAGTGAACGCTCACATTGTGACCCTGAACTTACACAGATGGAATTCGGAGTGAAATGTCAATCTCAAGCCGGGCAATCAAAGTATCAAACTGCTGCAATAAAGAATCCCAAAACGCAGAACAAATATGTTGTGCACTGAGCTTCTCTATCTTTGGAAGGCTGCCCAATGTCGATGGAGCGTTCAAAAGGAGAGACTCACAGAAGGAGGACATGGAATTTCTTATCGAAACTGTTCGCAAGATGATCGAAGAGCAGTGTGCCTGGCATGCGAAGCAGAGCATCTTTGGCCTCCCAATTCTTTAAGCCAGGGCCGAACCACCAGAGCCGATCTGGGGCCACGGATCACGGCGCACCTTTTCGAACTTGCCTCGGTTTGTGGAAAACACCGAGGCGGCAGACCGAAATCTGTGTTGGAGTGGTAGATGGGCTATGTGCATCTTGTTGGGCCTATTTGGCCAACGCCACGGTCTTCTTTGGGGACTTGGATTCTCCCAGAAGACTGAGAAAGCCCAGCCCGTGTGTATGGTAAATGGATATCAATGTTACTACAGTATCATGTACATGGTGGTTTAGGAGAGATGTACTACTGTAATCTAGAAAAGTTCATGTCATTTGGATCCAATTGGTGGCCTGGACGTCCACCAGGTACTTGGCCAGGCTCTAAGACCGGACCCTGCGGCCGCGCCAGCTTACAAGCCGTCAGTTGAAAGGGAAGATGCGTGTGTGAAATGCAAGAAAGCAACTTGAACATGGTTATGTTATGTTATGTTATGTTATGTTATGTTTGATGCTTGTTCCATACGTCTACGGGAGCTAGTCAGGGGGCTAAACAAGGCCGGTAGCCTTCAAGGAAGTTTGTTCTCTTTTGAGAGGGAAAACACCACACGAGAGGGTTTGCCCAGCTGAAAGCAATGAGTGCAGAAAGTGCACGTTGGACATGGTCCTAGCTCAATGAACCGCAGTCAACACAATTCCACAATGGCACAGGAACAGAAACGACAGCGAATGACTATATATTTAGCTAATAAAATGTGTAAAGGGCAAACCACGTGAATGCAATCATTGAACATTGATTTCAAGGAAGACACACTAGAAGGAGAGGAAAGGTCTAGAGGTAAAGAAGCTGAGGCAAACACAAGAGCAAACAACAACAGAGAACTATGGTTGTGAGTTTCAGAAACGCCGCCTGGCACGGTCGAAATGTTCCCCTCATCGCTCTGAGATCTACGGTGCAACGGACTACATTGAGTTTACAGGCTGCGGCCCGGTGTGGGAGATGACTCAGGGCGAAGGGTCATCTAGTCGTGGCCAGGTGTGGACTTGATCGTGCAAACTGGGGACGTGACCAAGTGACGTGTTGTGAGCAAGTGCAACCAACCAGTCACGATGGTTCCTTCTTCCATCTACCTTTCCATCTTCGTGACGCCGGTGTTTGAACACATGAATAGTGTGGTCTACTTTTTTGAGAAGCTCCATTTTTTGAGAGTTGTCTTACATACCCAGAACCTGATTGACCACTGTTTTAGGAGCCCAAACGTGGTCTTTTTCTATCGAAACAGAGGCCATGTTTGGGTTCTAGGTAATATAGCAGTTAGTTCCTGAAGAGTTGAGACGATGTTCACCCTGATTGCCTTCAACTCCTGAAGAGGAACCGGGGGGTTTCACCCACCTGATCGACTTGGTTTCCCCGTTTCGATCGCTTGATGAAGGCAGATGTTGAGGTGGCTGTGGGTCAAGATGTGGGAACACATCTTCCATTGGTATAACTACTGGGCCAAGCCAGCTGGACTTACCCAACTCATGTGGACTTACCCAACCCGTCTGCTTTGCTCATGAGGTCGGCTACCGAAGCACTTGCTGCGCATGCCCAAGGACCTCACCTCCGGAGCCTTCTACTCGCACAGCCCGGCGGCCCGTGATCGATGCGTGATACATCCTGGAAGAGGCCACAAGGTGTCAGGGATACACAAACCATTGTGAGAATTGGAAGCGTCATGTTGGGATTCGGCGAATTCGGATTCCCTGCAGTCAGTGTAGACTCACAAGTTGCGTCCGGAAACATCCATGTTTTATGTTTTAGCCCTGATCTAACTGTATCTAAGTGTAAGTTGTTGAATGTCTAAAGATGTCCTTTGACAGCAATCTTGAGACATGTCCTTTTCCATCCTGCTGTGTGAATGCGACCATATGCGACCCATTGCTGTCAACATATGGGTATCCAGCCTGGGGGTCTCGACAATTGCTGTCGACATGTTGGGTAATGGAAACAAGAGATTCGCGGGGAGACCACTTGTAGGAAGCAAAGGAACCGAGGATCCCTCCCGCGATGTTCGTTCATTCCTACCCAGGAAAAGTAGATCACCTTTATAAGATTCTTTGGGGACTTGGGGACATCCCATTCGTGGGTGCGAACAGGTGCAAAAGTTTACTATAGAAAGTTTCTGACATGTTCTCAACGACCAAGCCATGAGCTACTGGTAGCTCCGGGCAAGAAGCTACTAGTAGCAAGAAGCTACGAACGTAGCTCCTGGCATTACTACTATAGTAGCAAGAAGCTTTTCGGGCGTGGGTTTCCTACTACCACCCGTAGCATTACTGGCATGACTACGAACGTAACTCCTGACATTACTCATGACATACGCCCAAAACCGTGGGCTTCATGGTCGTTCTTCGGCACCATGCGCGCGCCGGGACGGACTTCGTCGACTCGGTCGGTCTTGAGGCCTCGGCGAGAGGAGTGTGCTGCAAGGCATGTGGGGAAAATACGATCATCATCGTGTCCTGGCGAAGTTGTGTTGGGGGGGGGGCCGGTGCGGTCATGGTGTTCCCGTGTTTTTATTTTTTCGAGAAACATACCCAGTTGGGCCCTCCAAATACTGGGCCTTCGGGGACTCCGAACTCGGATCGGTGGAGTTGCCCGGTGCGATTCCCGGTGGGGGAGCGTCCCGGCGCCCGACGGGCGCATGGCCGGTTTGTGCGTGTTGTTGTGAAGATGCACACGTAGCGAGTCGGGGCAGGTGAGGTTTGTGCAGTTACACTGAAATACGTCGTTGCTCATCGGACCAGTTCTCATGACCATTTGGGATTGTAATTGGTGGGCCTGAGTATGTGGGAGATGGGTTTGCAGTCTGCAGTCATGAGCCACGATGAGCGTCTTTCTACTGATTCTACTGCATATTAACGATATTGACATGTCTTTGTCCAGGCAGATCTCAAAACCTTTGGTATCCTTTAAATCTCGAGGATTCTTGAATATCATATTACAGTATATCCAAAAGACTCCGTGGGGACATTTCTATACCTACATTGACCCTGAATCAAACCCAATTCGTAAACATATATATATGTCATTATATGTCCCATCGGTCGTCTTTGGGTCATGTACGTTCGTTTTCCGTTTTTCATCGGATCTGCCCAGACCCCTCCACCCCTCGTCCATGAGGGTCGAGGGTGAAGGTCTGTTGGATCCATCTGTAGCACCAGAAGCACCTGCCGGCTGCCGTCCCGTTCTCTGGATGAACCGACTGCCTAAGGAGTGTCTGAGATGCCAATCTCACAAGATCCCCTAGAGGCGATGCCAATCACGCACGTCAGCTGGGTACTTGAACATGGCTTTGGACGAAGCTTGATCTTGAGGGTTTTGGTGGTTTGATTTTGGGTCGAAAAAGCGAGCAGCTTCTTTGTCAAATGTATGTGAGAAAGTTAATGTTAACATGCAGGTATAGTATAACAGGTTAGTAAAGACTTCATGAAGTGCAGACTGGATGCCGCAAAAAGAGATCAGTAGCATTTGCTTGGGGCAATACCAATGCCGGGCACTCCATCATTAGGCAATATTCAGTTATATTATAAGGCTGAAAACGTTGTTTTCAGGGGCTCAACATAGAAAATAGGCTGAAAACGTTGTTTTCAGGGGCTCAACATAGAAAATACCATCCTTTTCAACATCGAAGCCGCTGCAAACGTATGTTCACCTGTCGTGCAGTCATGGAAAGGGGCTGGTGGACCGGACTCCAAACCATGCGACCGTAGCTCCGCTCGGCCAGGTGTGACGATCCGAAGCGTTCCGCACAGCGGGACTCGAAAGCTGCGCGGTCGGGAGGATCCGAAGCGTTTCACTGGAAGTCTGATCGGTGGAAGGCAAGTTCTTCCAATTTGAGACTACGATTTTTGTGTATTTATATCGTGGCTTGTTATACTGGCTGGGCTAGGTGAAGCTCAAATAGAATCATCACAAGAATAAAAGACATGCAGTGATATACTGACATGGCATTGCCGTTGGCCGGATATTCCTTGCATAGTGGAGAGCTCGGCCATGTCTCATGTGCATATATCCAAGCTTTGGAGGACTGCACAGTCCCGGCGTGAAAATGGACGACGGTGAGTCGGACGGAGTTCTTGGGCACTAAACGTCGCACAAACCTGGTGAGATTCGCTTCATTTCCATGAATTTCTAGTCAAAAGAAAGCACGCATTCCCCGACACGGCTATATACATGGACCCCTGATGAAAGT